GTTTCTGCGTTCGCAGGTGGAGATTAAGTTGCGCAAGTTTTTGGACTCCATGATTCAGAAATCTGGTAAGATCCGGGCTCTTATCAGAGATATCAAGGATTGCTATAACAAGAGTGACGTGATGACCAGGCCGGACCTCTATATAATATGTTGATTGAAAGCGTGTCCATTTAGTCTGCAACCACCAATGCATGGAGATTGCCACTCATGTGCTAGGCAAGTGAAGGAGTTGGAGAGCCAACTCGGCAAACTGGATGCCCAGTACGATGCTTGCAATGCGGTCATGGCAAAGGGGGAGGTTACAGGATTCCCAAAGGAGCTTCTGGGCTGCAAGGTCTGTGCGTGAGACAAAGGCTTTAACAGCAATTGGAATGACCTCTGACTAAAAAATGCATGTGTGTTTGGGGGAAACTGGGATCACCAATGCAAACCCTCGCAACGCTATGAAGGTTCGTGGAGACCGCGACCAATGCCATGAACACGGCCACCTATGCGTAAGGATCTTATGCTCAACAAACCTCAACGCAATACGCTGTATAGACTTCGATCTGCATATATAATCACCATTACCAAGCCCCCAATGCATCCGGTGCTCAGGTGTTCCGCGGCCTGCGCAGCAGAAACCAAAGCGCGGTCAGAACCTCAATCCATGCACAATCGACCCAGGCAAGCAGTGTCTTTTGGAATGCTTCCTTCGATTGATTTGCGTGAAGGCTTGATTAAACCTCTCTTTTGAATGAGGAATGCCAAGAAGTACGAAAAGAAGGATGGTGATGTGAGTGACAAGAAAGACAAGAAGACAGAGAAGACCACGCGCAAACGAGAGAAGTCAGCTGAGCCAGCGAGCAAAGAGAAGAAACGTAAGGAAAAGAAACAGAAGAGTCAGAAGTGATGTGTATATAATGTATATACAAGTGTATGGGTTGGATTGCTAGGGGCAATCCTATCATGTGACCCTTTGGAACCTGCAGGAAATACTGCTTTTGGTCTCACTCCTGCGGGGGGTCAGGCCCACATGAGGCCGCTAAATCCCTCCGTGTCAGATCTGCCATACCTGATTGGACATGTTCTTCACGGCAACTCGTCCATCGGCTATATCTGATTTTTGTTTTCTGCATATATATGTGCTTTCTATAAGATGGATGGTCAGTCTAGACACGCACTATCTCAACAGAGGATGTCACACTGATTCTGGGGAACAGCAGTGGAAAAGAGGTATTAGCACATACGCTTGCTGCCTCAAAATCCCTTTGCCCATCCCAAGACTCCCAAACAGTCTTCACACCATGCCCACTCCCATGCGAGCCAGGTGCAGGAAACGCTTTGAGGGCTTTGGCTGGAGAGATCGGCGAGGGTGTCCGCGCCTCAAGATGCGGCTTCAGATCCAAACCATTCATCTGGTGCGAGTCAATCGACTTTCTATAAACCCTCAACCGCAGCTCCTTTGTATATCTCAGGTTGGGTGGATGGAAAAGAGTGGATGGATTTTTAAAAGGTATATATGAGTTGGACAGTTCTATAAGTCAACACTCGTTCCAACGGGAGCCAATGTCTCAAAGGTTTCAGATTCTCTGAACAGGCAACACGTGGGCTTACTGCCTCACAGCGCCATGGACGATGAAGCGTAGAAGCCGAACTAATTGAACTACTTTCTTGCCACCGCACTGACTCTCGGCAGTGTTTTTCGTACATGGAGGAATGGTATAACGAAAGACAAAACAGGTTTGCATGTGTTGGTGGAATTGCAAAGAAATATATACCTATGCATGCATGTGTATATATGTGTTTGATCGAGGAATCTGATGGCCCCTTCCCATGGAGTTTGGTGAATCGCAATGTGAAAGAGGACAACCAGACCAAGGGAAAATCAATGTTGCCGGGTTGGGTGTCCTCGGCGCCAGTCAGCTTGCAGTCTAACCCGAGTTTCCGTGCCATTGCTTTGCAGGCAGCATCCATGGGCAGCATTGCTTTCAAGCTACCCCGTTGTCAAAACATCACTGCGGGGCAGGTGCTTTTGCACTGCATCAATGCCATACAAAACTTGTTTGAGAAGCATGAGCCACTTATTTTTAAAGTGGGGTATACTCATGACCCATGCTGGCGTTGGGGAAACTCACTCTATGGCTACTGCCGTGCAAAAGAAAAGTGGTCTCAAATGATTGTACTTTGGATTTCAGATGAACCTTTTGGTCCTGCTATGTTGGAAGCTTCTCTCATCGAGATGTTCAAGGGTATCTAGCCTGCAAACATATTTCTCCATTGTTTGTTTGCACTTCAATGCAAACGCATGGTTCAACAACCTAAAGATTTAGCCCACGGGGTGCAGCAGCAGCCGTCCAAGGTAAAGCGGGGTGCAAGAACATCAAACTTGGCGGAGATACTGTGAGCACTGCTTTTAGTGGGGCACATATGTGCTATGTGGTGTACAGATCTTTCAAGTTCAAGCCTATGTGATGTTTCTACGGCAGGACTTGGAACATCTCACCCACCACCGGCAAAACCTTCAATTTATATTAAAGACAAACATGACTCCAATCAATGTGCGACAAAGAGTTTTATATATATAGGGGGTGGGATGTTGTATGTCTTGCATACGGGGGTGCATGGCACGCAAAAGCAAAAGAGGTGGGTGCACTTGAGGAGACACTCGCATGAGGAATGCAATTGCAAAAGCCAACTCCTGCCTTTCTTTATGAACAGCGCTGTTTGAGAGATTTGCATGCAAGCCGTATATTGTTTGCAATCACTTTCAGGTTTTCATACACTCATGCAGATTTGTTCCAAAAACCTTTGGTTGCCTTTGCGTACGATGCTACCGTTCTCCGGCTCTGAGGCCTCGACTTGCCGTGCTGCGATTCGTGCCGCCAAGAACATAGTGTCAGATCTTGGAGAGCAGACTGCAGCTAGAAGCCGTGGACTCGTAGAGTTAGGCAAGTGCACCGAATCCCACAGCGAAAGGGATGTCAATCGAGTTGCCAGGAAGTACCAACTTCTCTTGCCAGTGAAATTGAGTAACTTGCCCAAAAGCCCTGGAATTCGTTTCACAGGAGACTTTAAAGCAATATCTCTAAGAGATTGGTGCAAATTCATGATCGATCATGACTGCTGGCACGTGATGCTTGGGCTACACAGGCCAAATCCCAAAAGGGAGTGTGACATTTTGTCAGCTTTCTGGCAGCGCTTCAAGGCTTTGAGGCCGCATCACCAGCTTTGGGAGGAATTTGAGAAGAACAATGTAGACCTCTCCCGATGTTGTCCGATGGTCTTTCACGGCGACGAAGGCCGTGGACGGAAGCGGGCTCCATTTTTAGTAGCTTCATACCACTCAGTGCTGGGCTTCGGGACGCATGCTGCGAACCAATTCAGGAAGCACAGAGAATATTTAACAATGAAGCTGAACTACTCCGAGAGTACTCATGTGACATATCTTCTCACAGCCGTGCTACCGAAAATGCTGAAAGATGAAGTTGCCTTCCAGACCATCCTCCAATTTGTCACACAGGATTCATTGTCTATGATCCGAAGTGGTGTGCAAAGCAATCATGGTGAGAGGCACTATATGGCTGTAATCAATTGCACTGGTGATTGGGCCTTTCTGGCTAAAGCCGGCAACCTTGGAAGAAGCTTTTCGAACGTGGAAAAGCGTCCTCGAGGCCTGAACTCGAACCCTCGCGGAATCTGCCACTACTGCCGCGCTGGTCAGATCAACGTGCCCTTCGAGGACTTTGGGCCAAACCCATGTTGGAAAAGCACGATGTTTGAGGAAGGCGATGTCCCTTTCACAAAAAGACCAACCTTGCTTGGCATCCCCCATGAGCCTGATCGCGAAGCTGCTTTCTTTACGTATGATGTCTGGCACTCGTTTCATCTTGGAATGGGAAAGACTTTTACTGCTTCGGCATTAGCCTTGATCTCGGACCGAATGGAAAGCACAAACATTGATGGAAGATTCTCAGAGCTGACCAACGTTTTCCTTCAGTGGTGTGAGGAGGTTAAGGTGACACCATATGTCACGAGCATCAGCAAAGATACACTTGGATGGTTTGACCGGATGACCTTCCCAAACGGGATGTGGTCGAAGGGACATATCACCACGGCCTTCATGAAGTTTGTGGCATGGTGGCTTCGTGCGAATGTGAATGATGTGAGCGATTGTCCACTCCTGACAACGAGTCTAGAGGCAGCTGAATCGTTGAATACATGCATGGAGCAACTGTACCGTGCAGATGTGTGGCTGAAACGTGAAGCCGCTCATCGGATTGGGCAGCATGGCTTGAAGTTCATGAGTTGCTATCAGCGCCTAGCTCGACTTGCATATGACGAGGGCAAGGCGTTGTATATCTATATGCCTAAGAGCCATGTCTGCCACCATGTCTTTCTAGAGTGCGCGGAGGCCACGGCAGAATGGACCTTCAATCCTCTCACCTTCGCTGTCCAGCTCAGTGAAGACCTGGTGGGCAAGAAGTCCCGACTTGCCAGAAGGGTCGCTGCAAGTCAGGTCATCGTTCGTGTGTTGGGAGCGATCTTTGTGTGTGGCATTGAAGGCTTGGACGGACGCAGGGTTCATCAAAGGATGATCGGGGATTCATCTTCAAGGATGATTGGGGTGAGCAAGAAAAGTTGTGTGCGCGCGGGATGTTTGTGGTGTCTGAATGAGAGGGTGTATACATGATGAAATATTGAAAAAACGTATGAATTCAAGAACCGGGTTTTTCCATTAAAAACCTGGTTTTGTCCTTGCGACCTGCTTTTTTAAAGGTTTTGGGTTCTCTTGGTATATATATATATAATGGCAGTTCGGCCGTGTTTGGGTTCCATGGAGAAGATGAGAAGAGCGTTGCTTCACCCACGATCCGTCCGGGACTGCTGGACTGGTGGCCCCAGACAGACCCCCTTGATCGGTAAAGATGACATGGAGTGTCTGGGAAGATTCACCCCAAACCACCAATATTCAGAGCCCCTGTGCGCTGGACCCATGGATCCTTTGGGGGTCATCTAAGGTTGGTAATTGGAGGTCTCTCTCTCGAAGATGAAGACGTGGGCTTCTTGGGATTGGACCGAACCGTGTTTCTTTTCGTTCGGATTTAGGCCCTAACGGCTAGACCGTCGGCGGTGTTTCTTTTTCTCCATGGAGGATGACCGTTCAGTTCACTGGGAACTCCGCGATTTGATCGAGTTTTGGGGGGTTGAACTCGGTGGCCCAATGGCCGGAGTCTCGGCGGAATTCGATGGTAACCGTCCCCCAGGAGCCGTCCATGTGCTTCGGACTCGTTAAGTAAGTCAAAAACACAAGAACTGCAGCGGATTCGTTCGTATTCAGTATACTATGGAAACCTGGATGTTCCCGGAATTGGCGCTTGAACATGACAGTCAACGATTGGTCGACGCGATGGAACTCTCTACGGTCTTATGATGTGAACAGTTGATCTGCATGCAAAATATCTTCAGCTGCTTGCATTGTACCAGCACGCTGGGTCGCTCAACAATCACCAGCCTGTGGCAATTAACTGAGCCAGTGTACTGGCGCCTGGATTCGTTGTGAACACTTCAGGCTCCGTGGACGTGTTTGATCTTCGGACCAACGCTTGGAGCGAGCTTCGGCTTCCTGAACTTCTACAGCCCCGGAGCTCGGCGATGGCCTGCGGCACGACGAGTGGTCGTATTTTCGTGCTGGGAGGCACTTTGACTGAGTCGGCGTCAATTGAACATTTGTTGGCGTTTTGGGAGACAAGTCCCACTGAGCGAATTAAACCAGGGAACCTATAATCTGGTTGGTATTTCTGGTCATTGATGGCTAGCAAATTATGAAATTTGGGTACTTGATCTTGCGGCATATCTGGTATTGACAGCCATGAGTCCATGAGGGAGTGTTTTCCATGGAGAGTTCTCCATGTTGGATTGCTCCCACAGAAGCCTTCCAACCCCGTAGACGGCCCAAAACCTCAAGAGGTCGTTGATATGGACCCCCATACCCCATACACTCCATGTATGCTATAGTTGCCGATCAGTTGGGATGGTTTCGGGGGTCAATGTCGGCATATCTTCCAGTCCCATGGAGTGTTGGGGTACTTCCCCTGAACCTACCATCATCCACATCAGTCCGCATGCCCAACTTCCACGTCTGTCAAAACCCGCTCTCCGACTGCGACCCTGCGACCCCTGTGCGAGCTGAGGGCAACAAGTGGGACCTGTGGAGTACGTGGAGGCGTTGGATCTCTGGGACTGCGCCTGGCGCCGCTGTGCCGATCTTCCAGAGCCCTTCGCGTGCCGCGCCACGGCCATCGCCGCGATGGATTGAAGTCACCGTGATGAGACGCTGAGGAGTGAGCAGAAGTGCTAGGATTCGGGTCGCGAAGAAGGTGAGAAGATTTGGAGTCAGTGATGATAAGGGGATGTTGAAACATCCTGGTGGAGAAACCTTGGTGGATGAGGTTCTGCACTCCTCGTGCGCAAGCTGATGCTGCCCGTCGCGATGTTGGAATCATATCCTGGGAAGACGTACGCCGCTAGGTGCTAACGTCTGAGGAACTGGATGCGGTTGCGTGTTAGTTCGTTCCGGTGGAGGATGGTTCTCGCGCAGTTGAGAGGCTCCACGGTCCGCGGGTCCGCTGTGCCATTCTCTTCACCTGCAGCATTTGCGTCACCTGACACGCCGTTGGCTGGCAGAAAAAGGTCGAAACAGGCAGCTCAAAGACCCTGGATGCCGGGAGTGCGACACCGGAATGTTGGGACATTAAGACATCATTAAGAAATCATGGTAAACGTGTTTTTTTTGTTGTGGTTCCGAGCATTTGGCTTCATATTACGTTCACTGCATTTGGCTGAAACGTAGCAAACTCGATGAGAAACCGTGACCAAAAACTGTGCTTCCAACCATGCCAGGTCCAGGATATCGAAAAGAAGAACCCAGGGGACCGACGAGTGAGGGCAGCGGGCAAATAGGCAGCGGACGAGTGGTGTGGTGTTTCATTGAAAGCGCTTAGTCGAGAGCGGCTACAATGTCATCAAGGAACTATTTTGCGGGGCGGATGCGGTAATCTTTTGAATCAATGTCTCGTGTACTATCACGCTTCAAAGAACATGTTGTTCACGTCCAATATTGTGTATAGAATTCTATGTTGAATGTTAGCCTTTTGATTATGTTTTTGAAGAGAGCGAGGATGCCGGCGCGGGTTAGGGGTTGCTGTTTGGCATGTTAAGGGAACCGGGACCTGTGCCCTGAGGAACGGTTGATAAGACATCAGGACCTCTCAGTTGCTTCTATAAATGGACTTGCCTATAGGGCTGCAACCACATCCTCAGAAGGTACTGCACCCACCCCTGGTATACCGAACCCAAACGGAGGTACTTGGAGCGTGTTGGAGTCCCCAAAAAAGGGCTGTAGATGCTGACACAAAATTCAACAATCACAGGGCAATCCGCTTGAGCAGGCAACACGACAAGAAACGTTGCACTGTATCAGTTGAATTCTTAGTTTCATGATGTTTCATGCGTGATTATGTTTTATATATAATATATTGTACTACCCTAAGAATCATTTGACCCCCCTATGGAGGGTTTGGACCCTGCATAGCAGGGGTTTGGACAATCAAAACCTTCACCTTTGATGGTTCTCGGTTCTTAGGGTATAGATTATTATAGACGTATGTTTTTTTGTCATTTTGTTCTTGATGAGCTCCTCCCCCTCCACCCGGGATCCCGAAGCACAGCACCCCACCTCTTCCTGCGGCGGTGCAACCGGCAGGACTTCATGGCCATCATGCATTTGGTGAAAGGCGCGGAGCTTCGCGTTCAGACCGCGCCGCAGAATTGGTCCAGAACAGGTCGTGCGGGGCCCGCGTTTCACTGGTGAGGATTGGAAGCGCCAGACCAAACCAGTGAAGCCTGGGTCTTCGGGTGCGTGTGGTCCAAGGCTGAGTCGATTTGGGACCCACTCATGGTCGACTCTTGATGATTGGACATATGGAGGGCTTATCAATCAAGAGTCTACATTAGGACCATTTAGGACCCTAAAACATCCTAAAACCAGAAGGTTCGTGGTCAGACCTGTCCGTTTCCGTGTCCTTTCTTGCCAGATTCGTCAGGTGAAAACTACCGGAAATCCTTCCAGGCACGAAGCGAGAAACGTACGCCATGCCATGCCATCGCGAAGAGCACACTGAGTATGTGGGGGTTGGCATGCGTCGTGTGAGTTGGAGGTGTGCTTGCCCATTTTCAGGAAATTTGTTGATTGTGCTGTTTGGTGTGTTGCCACGTCACGTGCTTTCTTTTTCAGGGAGCTCATCAGAATTGTTTGTTGTGTTTTGTGACCAGCACGTGTCATTGGCTTCCTTGGCCATGACCATCTTCGGTTCGAAGGAGACCGGCGACGCTGAAAGCTCTTGTTGGCCACTGGGCAGTGTTCGTGGCGGCAAAGGTGACACGAAGCGAAGGTGCAAGACCATTGGTCACCTCACACACTAGCTGCGAGAGCACTGATTTGTTGGGTGTCAGCATGAGGGAGCCTACTCAACGTTCGATGTGGGGCAAGGAAAGAAGCATGTCTGATTCAGAATTTCTCATATAGACTCAGACATAGACTTCCAGGGGTGGAGGGACCTTCACACAAATATTTATATAGTGAAACCTCACGAAATCTTGCCTAGCTTCCAACATCAGGATCACACCATACCTAGCCGTGGGATTCCTGGCAACGTAGGCTGCTGATTCATCAAACTCCCCATATGTAGATAGAGGTTCTTCAACCTAAATCGGGGCGCTGATGTTTGAGTCTATCATCATTTTCGGGGGGGGGGACATCACTTACAACCCCCCCTTCCCCTTCTGGATGTTGCACAGTCTTTGTATACTCATTACCTTGCGGGTATCAAGTCCTGGCAGGTGCACCGTGTCTCTGTGTCTCTCTCCGTGCCCGGCACGAAGCAACGGGAACGTCACGAGGTCCTGTGGCCAGTCGATTGGTCTCATCAAGGACATTCCGAGCTGCCAGGACCGAGTTCTTTCTTCGCGCTTCGCTTCGCGGTCGAAGACCGAGAAGCGGACCTTTCTGGGGCCTACCTGCTTCCTAATGCCCTAATGCCAACCCCGGATTAATAAACGGGGGGGTCCCCCTTCAAGGTCAACAAGGTCTGAGATTGAAGGTATTGGGGGACCACATCCCCCTACTAAGGTGATGACCTGATGGATAATGAGATGAGGACCTGGACCTGAAGATGGATGATGGGTTGATAGGATTCTGTGTGAATCATGAGAGATTGAACCATGAGAGCCATGAGGGCTCTGAGTGTGTTGGCACAAGCTTGATAAGAGATCAGGTATCAGATAGGATAGATCAGAGAGCCATGCCAATTGGATCATTGCACATCAGAGCATGGAGGATGAGGAATAGGAGATGGAGGCTATTTGTGGTGAGGGTGGGTTCATGGACTGGATGGTCGGATTGGTGGCCTGTGGAGGATTGGTATGACCTTATGTCCTATGACACCCAATGGGGGAGGGATCAGAAAATTGAAGATGAGTAGTACAATAATATGGGCCTTCCAATATGGAGGCGCAGATGGTGAGTTGGTGAGGCATTGGCTTGATGAAATTGGTGCCATGGTGGTTGAGTGCGGAATTGGGTGGGTGAAGCTGCTAGCATGGTGTTTGTGGGATGTATTCATTCCATTAGTGGACAATGAGTGGTGGAGCTGGGTCCATGGAATGCATGGTGGAAATGAGTTTGGGAACCTGCTGGGTATACCATTGGTGGGCCCTCATTGTTTAATAAATACAACATACAATAATGAACTATATTTTTTCAGGGCAGCTGGAATTGATGAATAGGTGGAGGTTTCTGGCCAGGAAAGATTAGTCGGGGGATGGTGGAAATTCAGGTTTTAAATCAGTTTAGTATTGCGGGCTTGAGCTGGGATTGATTAATAGCGGGTGGTTACTTAATCCTGTGTGCGCATTACTCGTGTTTTTTTTTCTGTTTTCTTCGCGTCGGATGTAAGAAACAAAGGTTTGGAAAGAGTCGGTTGCCTCGCTGATGACATCAGCTTAAGTGCAGCGGGTCGCATTTTGGGGAGATGAACTAACTTGTTGTTTTATTAGTTGTTTTCTTTGAATAATGAGTTTTTCAATGCACTTCAAGGCTTGAAACCTTGGAGTTTACCAGTTAAGTTTTCTCCTCTAATATTGTCCAACTAATGAGATGCAACATCTCCACACAAGAGTAGGCATGTGGCTTGGTTCTTTCCCTCGTTGAGGCACCAAACGGTCACCCAACGGACTGGTTACCACTGCCGATCTGGGGGAGACGGAGGGAGAGAGGGATGGAGGGACACAGCAAGAGAGAGAGGAGGCCTTGGCCGAAACTAGGCGCGTGAAGGGCATATGGACCCACAACCATTTGAAGGGCTTTGAAGGGCATGCTGTGTGGCCAGAACTCGCAGACTTGCATCAGGAACTCTTGGAAGGAATGGCCTGCAGCCCAGCATCTCCCTGGAGCAACCCCAAACCAAATCCAGCTTTATATCAATGAATAACATTGCCACACGCGGTGCAGGTTTTCAGCATGTGTCCATTTGTTCAGAACTTTAGGGCTTGACAGCCCGTGCACTCGTACTATTCGTATTCAACCCTGAACAGAGTTGTTTGCACATCTAGGTTGCACCATTTTTAAGTATACTGGGATTGTCCTGGCTTTGCAACACTGGAAAATGATTGATCATGACATCACTACTACATACGGTATATATGTGGAATATATATATATAGATAGATAGATAGATAGACGGATATGTTCGTTCTATGGGGTGTCCGGTTGACCATCCCAACATCCGGAATTGAACCTGATGCGAGTCCCAAAAGACTCCCCCAGGTCCAACAAGAATCTTGAAATCAGTTGAAATCCATCAGTAACCTGCATCTCCAGAATCTGATTCATGGAGATCCATCAGTAACAGCCTTTGGATCCGGACTTGCGAAGATCCACCAAGACCCCCAAGGAGGAGCTTTGCGGACTGACCGAGGTTGCCGAAGCTGAGGACATCATCCGCAACCGTTTGCAGTCGAAGCTGTGAGGCTGAAGCAGCCGGGCCGGTCCCGTGGGCATGGGCCCGGGGGTTCCCGGTGCTTGAGCGGTTGAGCGTCTCGATCCATGCAGGAAGGTTTCGGAGTCTTCCAACATCACTGGGTGAGTATGGTCTCCCCCCAGGTCGCATCAGGACCCCAAACAGTACCAAGTTTCTGAAGATTTGGATGGGAGCCCCTGCAAGGCCAGGGACACCTGAGTGGAAGGCCGGACATCATCTGAGTGGTTAACTGCTGAGTGAGCTGAAAAGCCGCTTGTGCTGAAGGCACTCAGCAGATTAGAGCCGCGATGCACGGGAGCTGACAGGGCTACCCTGCGGATTCAAAGGTACGGAGCGACTGGAGCATCGGTACGGAGCAATGTTGTTGCTGGTGCTGGTGATGGTGGTGTTCTTTCTATTTGGCTGGGGGTTGTGGGTGGCCTCCGTTCGTTGCCTGTCCGCGTGGTTCGGAGTCCGAGACGGAGGGGGACACCCGAGTCCACAACATCCACTTTGATCTGCAGGGAAGGCGACAGACTCGACCAACGTAAACCTCCGATTCTCAAGTCTAAACTTGGTGGTGCATGTTTTGGTGTACCAAAAATCCTGCATCAGGAAAGCTGGCACCGCTACCCAGACACGATTTAATGGGACTGCCATATATTATTGCCGATCAGGCCAGGGGGGTCAATGGGGCGGCATATATGGCAGTCCCATGGAGTGTTCCAGGAGGCTGGCGGCAATTTTGTCAATGTTCGGAGGACATCTGGACACCCCCATGCCCCTGCGAGCAATCGGCGACGGCTCGACCCTGTACTGCTACCATCACTAAACGGGGAAAATAATGGAAAATAGCATCTCAGGGTCAGCTATGGATGTTTAGCAACCAGACTTATCGACCCTCACTTGTGCGATAATGGATTACATCTCCTATGAGAGGAGCATGATTTCCGGAGATTCCCCCCGTGGGCAGCATGGTGTGTTTGGCCTTTATGAGCCCGGAGAAGTTCGCCGTGCTTCTCGAGCACTGAAGACCTGGACGAGATCAATTTGCTTTCGCTCCACGGGCAACCGGTGCAAACCCGTTAAAGTCTTCGGACCAGCGGCACGCAGGGCCAAACCTGTTTCTGTTGAAACTCTTGGCAACATTCTACAACAAGCTGTATGCACTTAGAGACTTAGACACTTAGAGTCTGAGCTCCAATTGATTTGCCAACGGATGTGGAACCTGCCATTCTGTTTGGGACCCCCACCCACAGATGAAGCCCGATTGGATTCAATTTGCGCGTACAGTACTTTATGTGTTCCCCTTGATTTGGTTGATAGAAATGAGACCTATCGGTTTTGGGGGACAGACCAAACCCTACCACTGCTTCGGACATGCTCCCCGTGTGAGATCCAACGTCTTTTTCACCTTGGGCCTCCCCTTTGCCTTTGGGGAAACGCCTTGGCTCATGGATGAGACGTCCAGCCTCAGCAGAGAACCGCGGCTTGGCTGACGGATGTCGGATCGCGGGGGTACAGGTTCAATCAGCTTCTGCTGGCTTTACCTTCCTCTTTTGTGGTTTTGTTGGACCCCGAGTCTGGAGCCCCAGAAATCAAATGAACATGTATATTATAATATATATGTTTAATTATGTATATGTTTTGAATATATCTGAAATATTGCATTTGTATCATGTTGCTGAGGTTCCTCAAGTGCATCCACCGTGACTTGTTGTTTGTTGAGGTGTTTTTCAGGGGGAATGGCTCCAAGAACCCTCCCAATATCGACACAAGCAGTCATATGGGTGTGTATTAAATTAGACTCCCTGGAGGAAGGAAAATAGAACACAACCCATTTGTTGGGTGTCACGCAATTAAAATAAACACCAAGTGGCCCATATACACAAACAATAAGAGCTCTCATATGTCCAAGAGTGAACCGACACATGCATTACACTCTATATTCAATGGTGGGATTCCCTATAGAAGCACATTCTATCAACTTGGACAAATTACATGTTTTCTTACATAATGCATGTTTATATCATTTCAATTCATTTCACATATTTATGGCATATGTATGTTCATCCACTTCAGAAAAGAGTCAATTTACATCCTGAGGCCGCTCGCAAGGAGGTCGGTGGGAGAAGATCCGCTTCCGGCGGGAGGGACATGCGTGGAAGGTGGGACGAGGACATCCGCTCCCGAGAAGTCAGGGAGTTCGGGCTGAGGAAAATACATATATAGATGGAAACAGGACAGTTGGCAAAATAACTCTCTTTGATCTAGGTGGTGCTTTCGGATACGGCATTTCTATGTTTAAACCACTTTACTATTTCAACTGGGGATGGTTGAACCCACTGATCGAATTGAAGATTATTCCTTCATGAGTTGTAACCAACCAGCCAGACATGTTTGACAGGAGTTTCCGCTAGAAGGATCCGGAGACGGGCAGAATTTCAGGCACCGAGCTGGCAAAGGGCGCAGCCGGCGAAGCCTGGAATTGGTTAAAGGAACAAAAACTTGCAGACGTTGATGAGTCAATCATAAACCATATATACAACCATCCCATCATACCAAAATGGAAAAAACAAACTTCTTCTATGGGGCGTTTGATTCATCAACGGTCTACATGAGAGCGGTTTCGGACCATTCTTCCAACCTGCCGGACTTCGTCCGGCCAGGTGAAACCCCAAACGCACCGTCCATGCGTGAGGGTAACGGGTCACGTGAGAGTCGTTTCACTTTGGCGACCAAGTCCTGGGGTGTGCATTTCAATACACCATGAGACACCCAACCAACGGGTTTCGTCGATCTTCCTTTTTCCAGGAAGTCTTTGGGAGGTCTCGAGTATGTTAATACACGCCCACTTGCTTTCGTTGGAAGTTCCTACAGTATACAGATGCTGATGGAGAATCTTGTTTTCGCCAGCTGTGTGCTGCTCGAATTAAAGGGTGCAAAGCCGCCTGCAGCAACCTCCATGACCAGCTCTCACCGTCCAGATCGAGACAACATCGCATGTCCATGTGACCATGTCGAAAAACAGCAAGATAACTGCTGCCAAGCTGATACATGCCAAGCTGATCGACGTCCACCTTTCTTCACCCAACAATAGTAGAACCAGGTGAGAGAACCCCTTTTTCATCTCCAGAGAGGGTCAACTCATGATTACGCCAGTTCGAGGTTCGACAAGTTCGTTCAAGAGCAGTTCTCCTAATTGGCTGCACCCATGCATGCTGAACCTGACACCTGAAGCACCTCAAAGAGCTGGGTGTTCAGGTCTCAGGTGACGGTGTCGGTGTCACAAAATGGCTCTTCTGTCCCTTCCGCCCCGATTTCAGTGGATAGCCGAGAATGTGGCCAGCGCTTTTAACATCAAAAATGTGGAGAGCACCATCCAAGAGAACCTGAACCACAAGAAGCTTACAGAGTTCTTGGAGGGGAAGACCAAACAGTAGCTTGGGACTTGCTCATTCAAGTTGGTCCTTAGGCCTTTCCAAGAATAATTAACTACCATAGTAACTACCATGTATCTTACTGCGGCGCCATTGCTTACTACCATTGTGTAACAATATATGCTTCCAACACACACATATAGATAGATAGACAGATAGATAGATAGATATAGAGATAGAGATAGAGATAGAGACAGAGATAGAGACAGAGATAGAGATAGAGATAGATAGATAGATAGAGATAGAGATAGAGA